AATCGGAGCACTGAGAAAACCCACGATTGAAATGGGGCAACACCTTATCCCATGCAGATATTAGGAAGCCACTGGAGCTATGCATTTTTAAATCTAGATTTACAACTAAATTATTTACAACTGCTTTTTCTGCTAAGTTTGTTGTCCTTCCCCCACACCTCAGATTAGCACGGTTGAGGAATGCAACGTGCATACTGCCATCACCTGACGAGCCAGGGTATGGCACCTCGACACCGACGAGAAGGGAGTTTCACGACATTTGTGTGATCCACCAACCTTGGCTGCATCCACAGCGCTGGATTACTGCCCACGTGTAGTAACTACCTCCACCGGGCTAAATGATATTAAGAAGTTGACATTCGGAAAATCCCATCAAAGAACACCAAACAAACGCAACTGACCAAAATATAATTAAGAAATGACCGAAACAAAATGTTTATGCTGGACATCAAATGTAATAACCATCACCACACACAAAAAAACTATTCATGAAGCTAGCATGTATTACAGGTGGATCAATGTACAATAAAAATACAATAGATTTATGTATATTCTGTATACTCTAATATGTGTATACAATACTTACTATATAGTAAGTACGTAATACTGTATACTAGGTAGTTTATAATACATGATTAGAATAACAAAAAGTAGCTAAAACTTCGTTAATTCCAAATTGGGTTAAGGGCTACCCTGCCAATACACATCACAATAGCAGGGGGACAAGACCGCTTCGTCAAAATAGTAAACATCTGACGTTACAGAACGGTGATGCGTATCGTCCGTCAGATGAGCGTTGCTATTGCTCAATGAACAATATTATCGCAATCAGTAATCGTCATTTGGTAAATCTGGTATCCGCGCCAATCTTATAGCACAGAATCCAACACAAAGGCCCCGAGTTTAACAGACGCCGTCTGTGGCGCAAATGTTGCTGTGCTCTTTTTTTTTATCCCAATCGACTACTTTCCGGTGCAATTCTTCTGCTCGGCCGATTCCGAATTGCAACAGGGGATATTTAACGTCCACTGCGAAGCAGACGAGTAACCACGTGGTTAACACGCGCAGCACGCGGTAATAACAAGGGCGGCCTGCCGGATTCGAATCCACGAAGCTTTGCAACAAGAGGCAAACGCGTTGCCAGCGGCCCACGACACTTCATCTGCCAGCTCAGAACAAAAAACCAGAATTACTTTGTGGACAATGGAAATTTTTCGATTTAAAGCTTTCGTGACTGCAGGGATTCATATTCTTGGTTCTTTCGGTAAAGTCACGTAGAAGGGAAATAATAAGATAATAAAAATAAAACGATTAAATTATCACGACGTTTCGGCCACAACGCAAGCAGCCGTCCTCAGAGCTGTCGGAAAGAGAGCGTCCTAAAATTTAGGACGCTGTCTTTCCGACGGCTCTGTTCTTCACCTGAGGACGGCTGCTTGCGTTGTGGCCGAAAGAGTCGTGAGAATTTAATAGTTTCATTTTTATTATTTTATTATTTCCCTTCGACGTGACTTTACCGAAAGAACCAACAGTAATGTGCTGGACGTTCAGTGGGTGAAAAACGGGGTCAACGTCGCAATTAACATTTTTGGCCCTTTTCGTCGTTTCGCAAACACGTCGTCGCCTTATTATTATAATTAATACCACGACTTCATTTGCGTCGCCCTCGACCCACACACACTTGCGTCACGGACAACATCGTCCGTTCTTTCTGGTTATCCCATCACCTCAGCCTTCGCCCCCCCCACCCCCCGCATCCTCTTGCGCACAAAACGACTTTGCATCGTGCATAAATAAATGCGAACGGCGATGCGGAGGACGATACAGTATTTACGGAGAGTAATTTGGCGATCGGGAAACAACATTAACTTTGATTTACATCGTTTTCGATATTCTTCTCACATTTAAGGACCGGGAGCATTACCGCATTAAACAGAGGTACAGGACTCGTTGGAAGGCTGAGGCCAGGTTCAGGCACCAGCGGTAAATGGCGGTTGGGAATATTCACGTGGTCATTAAAGGATTGAGGGTTAATGAAGTGCAAACTTAACTCACTACTTCACACTTGCACACACATAGATTACATACAGACACTTTCATCGGACGTACTGTACATTGACATAAGAACGGGCACTAACTATACTTAAAAAGGCGAATACAAAGTGCATAAACAAAATCATGTGTGCATCATTTTGCCTGTGTATCTAAACATACGTACACCATTTTCGCAGGATAAAAACAAAGCACTTTGGCGATTAATACTTTGCAATATTGTGACAGTGGAGAAATGACAATGCGTAAAGTGCTGGCAGCATTCCAATGGCTAAAAATGCAGGCAACAAAATAATATAATTACAGAGATCTTTTGCTTAATGCCTATTTTCCTTTCATAATGTGCTGTTTTAAAACCCCCTACACCTGGTGAGTGAACCCTGCTGGATTTTTTTGTTACTTTTGAAATTCAATATTTAAGTGTCAATTTCCAGACAATTCTCCACACGCTAATGCCCTCCAAACATACAAATGCGACGTCTGTGCAGTCACTGATGAACTGCCGAGACCATCAAACTCACTGCCTGCTTCACCGACTGACAATTCACAATAGCGCAGACTGTGACTGCGATCACCAAACTAAAACCACGGGACGCATCGTAACGCCACTGCCTGCTTTGGTCATTTGCCAGCAGCGTTTCAAATATTTGTTAGGCAGCTCGCTTATCCACCAACGTCGACATGAACATAGTAGACACGGCGATGATCGACGCTCAATCGATATGTAAGAGAAAAAAGGCCAAAACTTATACATCTGGTTTAATTTGGGATGAGAGCCTGGGATTTGATATTTTTGGCCCCATTTAAAACACTCCAGATTTTAAAAAGGAGTACTACTGCAATATTATTGTTGCTGTGCATCCAGTAAAGCCGTAACCAGACAATGAAGGATTACATCTGATCTACATGCAGGGACTTCTCTACTTACGAACTAGTTAGGTTCCAGAGCTCTGTTCGTAAATTCAACTTTACTCCTGTCTATTCCAAGCATGTTGTACGGCATGTACACTAAACACGCGGAATTACTTTAAAAGTTGTATAATCTCCTGTAGGTATAGATGCCACTGGTTCTTCACGTTTTTCAGATGTAGGTGCCACCACCGCCATCTATTGCGCGGCGGTTGAACTTACGACTCTCGGTCCGGACAGGCAACTGGACATACGGACAGGTTTGTTCGTATCTCTGAAAGTTTCTAAGTCGAATTTTCGTAAGTAGAGGAGTCCCTGTATACGAATTAATAGGTACATTCACGGTGGTCCTTTTGTCAATCTACTGCTGGATAACTGCATTCCACACATTCCAGGTGATTTGGTCGCAGGCAAAAACTAATATTTCGATTAAAAACATATTTTTAAGCATATTGTGCGACCTTTGCAAGGTAGAATATATTATATATTCATATCGTAGACTGTCTTGGCATAGTATCATACAACAAAATATATGACTTGAATACCACACGTATTTTGAACATTTAACTTATGCCTTAATACTTGTTCATCCAGCGTTGATTATAGGTCCCTTATGGCAGCAACAGAGCTCAGACGATCCATCCTTGTTTACAAAGTGCCCTCAGTTTGACAGTCAATGCAGTGCTTTGAAGCCACAGTGTATCATAAAATCTCTCAGCAACTGGACATGACAATAAATAGACCCAAATGATATTAAATCTTAACTTAAAGGACGTTATTAACCAGTTGAAGTCATAACTGGCTGCGATGTTTCCATCCTACCTTCCGATATTAGTTATTTTCGACTCTCTGGTTTTACATTAACAGGTTAAATGTCTCACTAACACAGCCACCGTTGCTCGTTTCCCTCGATGTGGCAGTGGCTCAGCGATCTTACACTGACATGCTAATCTCTCACAATGCAATGGCCACCTCCGCAGCTTCGTCATCGTGGGGGTAGCTCTCCGATCTTACATTGACATGCAAATTTCTCACTTTAACATCACTAGCCCCGCCCACTTCGCTTATGACCCTTGGGCGACACCAATTTCAAACCTTTAAAACATCCTGCCTCAGCAGCTTTCCCGAATTTTTTTCTCCTGAAGACGATTGCTTGTGTTGCGATCGAAACGTCGTAGTTTTTTTGTTATTTCCTTTGAACCTACATACGTGACTTTACCGAAAGACCCAATAATACCAAATTATATCAATATAACTATTTAATATGAATTGACAGTATTATTATACTTGCTTACCCAGGAGGCTCCTGCAATGTGTTTTGTTTTTCTCAGAAGAGGGCAATGACTGCCATGGAGATTCCAATTGAGTAATTTGCAGGTAATTCTTCAAATTTAGCAAGTTTGGTAACACTCTTAAGCACGCACCTCCGATTAGCACGTTGGGCTACGTACGATGTGAAAGAGGTTCAACGTCAGAATCAGAATATGTATTTATACTGGAGGAATCCGATGAGCTATAAAGCTCTTTTTCACAGATTCCAGCATCCATTGCTGTACTGCCATTTCCTGGCCACCTGGGGCAACAGCGGCACGGTTTGAAATTGCCCTGCACGACACGTGGTGATGGGTGTCATAATGGAAAATTGAACGCCGGGTGGGGGGGGGGTGAAACCAGTGAATGACGATGATACCGGCACACAATGGCCCACTCTTGCAAATTACGTCAGGTGATTGCTAACGCCCAATGTGATACAGCCAGCAGCGTAGTATCCATAAGAGTGTAGAATTTTGTGGTTTAAAAGGACCGTTGTATTTTATGGTTAATACACACCACAGTGCTAACATTAAACTATGTTTTATTTCACCAGGCAAGGCCTACTGAGCTATGCAGCTATTTTTCAGAAGTGGCCTGGCCACAAATGATAGCTTAACAAAGTGGCTTATTACGTGGAAATGTATAACAACTAGATACTCTAAACGCATGTTTATAAATGTGGTGGGAAGAACCGGAGGACCCAGACAAAAATCCACGCGAAAACAGGGAGAACAATCAAACTCCAAATATACAGGTGTCAGTCATCAACGAAACCAACGACCTCCTGCATACCAGGCGAGGTAGACAACATCTCGTCACCGTGGCACCCCTATGGTGGCCTGCTGGGATATAACCGCGAAAACCTCTGCAACAAGCGTGCTATCGCAAGGCCATATCATCACCCCTGCTAGGTCAATTAGTTGGAACAATCATTGCTGATGCTTGGCATCAAAACTCCTTGTCACCTTCCTCCATAACTTTCCAACCAGCTCATGGCTGCGCTGACCCCTGAAGCTTTCTTTCCACAGCACTTTGCGCGTACACCGAGGGAGTGCGGCGGGGGGGTCGCTCTAGAGAGTGGAGGTGTGCCAATCTAAATGATGAAGGATTCCCTCTCAGGCTCGCGCTTGCCATCCTCAGCGCCGAGGCATATCTGCGACTCGTTGTGGAGCTGAATCTTGACCGTGACCCTCTTCTGGCCCTCGGAGCTGTTCCGCACGCCGTAGGAGAAGTAGATGATGAAGCCTGCGAGGGACAACGGTGCGGCAAAGACAAACCCCGTGGATGGGGAACTCACCACGTGTTACAATCACAAGAAGTGGCACTCGCATTGCCACGATTTACAGGTATTCCCTCGATTTTTACAAAAGGGGGTGCGCATTCTATAGAACAATAAAAAAAAACGTTTCTAGACTTAAAGCTTTCGTGACTGCTAGGATCCATACTATTTGGTTCTATTGGGTAAAGTCACGTAGGTGAAAATAAAATAACAAAAAATCACGACGTTTCGGCCACAACACAAGCGGCCTTCATCAGGTGAAGGGACGAGACTGTCTGGAGGACAGCGCTGTCCTCGTGCCTAAAACGAAATTTCGTAAATCAGAGTGGCTTTTTTAAAATTAATATAATACTAAAAATTCGGGATGTGTTTCGGACAGTCATTCCAACTCTACTCCTAACCTAACAATACACGCCTATATCATTTTTCACAATACAAAATAAAGAACATAAATATTAAAATTATTGAACAATAATTAATTAACCTTTTCAGGGAACTCACCAAAAGATCTGCATGTCGGAATGACTGGAAAAGTGATGTGGAGGAGTTACTGTTGCACTGTAGGGATGCCGTGACACTGTCGCGAATCAGAAACCTTGATTTTGTACTCGAGAAATTTGATGAGCTATGAAGCTCTTTTTCACAGACGTTCAGTCATGGACAGATGACACAGCTTCCGGGGTGCTAAGTATTTCATCCCGTGGTGCGTGTGATGTGAAATTTTGTTAACACGGAAATTCGATTTGTCAATTGCATTGACGCGAAATCTCGTAAATGTGAAATCTTCGCAAATCGACAGATACCTGTACAAACGACATCAAGTCTTTTCTGCTATTCCACATGTAACTCTTTGCGATCATTGTCATCATCATAAATCAGCTATTGATGATGATGATGAAAGTGGGAAACAATAGTCTTCTCATGGTGGCTGCACCCGTCACTTATTTTCATGTCATATTAAACACAATTAAGACTGTCACCTAGGCAAAATGAATGTCATTGCCTCGGATCCAGATATCAGTAGAGCCATACGGACCGTACAGTAAACCACTCTAGTCTGTGTTCCTTCGACGGAGGAGGAAGAGCAAAACTACACAAAACTCTCTCCTGAAGCCATCTCATCGTCACGGCTTGCAGACCTCAACATTGGCATTTAGCTCCTGAACATTTTTCTGCCATCGTACGCAAAAACATAAATTGTCCCATTGGGAGAAATTTGGAGCTCCAAATTAATGCTCGGGCTCTCAATCCTTCCCCATGTAAATTGTAACAAAAATATTGTACCATTTGGGGGCACGTCGGTACAGTTGCAACTCTTTCCCAACCTCTTGTCAAGTCTGGCCATGATCAATCCACGGCTGTATGAATGTCTCCCTAAAGCAACACTCTAAAAGCTCTATTCAGATAGATTCCAGAATCAATCTCTGCACTACCATCTCCTGGCCACCGTGGGCAACATTAGCACGGATTGCAATTGCAATCATTTAGAGTATTTAAATTATTTGGCTGCTATAAATTTCCACATAAGCCACTTCATTGAGCTTTCATTCGTGGCCAGGTCGATTCTGAAAAATAATCGAATCTCTCAGTGGACTTTACCTGGAAAAAAAGGGTTTAGTTTTTGTTTTCATGATTCGCTTACCTTTCCTATACTTTGCACTTTTATCGTGTTTTGTATTGTGTTGTTGTAACTTTATGACCTGCCCCTACTGGACATCTGTGAAAAATTGCTTCATAGTTAATCGGATTCCTCCAGTATAAATACAGATTTCTGATTCTGAAATGTCCTGCACCAACATGTGGTGACGGTGTCACAATGGGAAACCTAATTATAGGTGGGGGATTGAAAGTAGGGCATGACGATAACGAGGGTGACGTTTAGTTCTGCGCCACAGTGGCCACCTCTGTGTCCTCGATCACACGTCACGTTAAATTCGTGAAGTGTGCACGTGCTATAAATGGCATTTATTATTACATGAAGCAGTCCCCTTCATTAACCTCCTTCCGTTCCTCTCTCAAAAGCCTCACCTATTCTCCGTTGACCATGCTCTTCCTCTTCACTTCCCCCCCCCCCCATTGCTTCTCTCCCCTCCCCTTCCCTATCCCCTTCTCACCCCTCTATCGTGACCACCTCCCATACCCTTCCCTATCCCCTATGCACCCCTCTACCATGACCACCTCCCCTCCCACCTACTCACCCCTCTATTGTGACCACCTCCCCTACCCTCTCCTATCCCCTACGCACCCCTCTATCGTGGTCACCCATTCCTCATCTCTTTGCATGCCCCCTGCCATCAAAATAATTTATTTGTATAAACCGTTTTTTTTGTTACTATATTAACCGCATTGATCAAAGGGCACTCTATATAAGATAATGTTATTAATCCTACTACTGTGAAGACTTGCGACTTGGTACCTACCAATGAGCATCCATACAGAGAACCGAGCCCACGTGCCGGCGTCGAGTTGCATCATGAGGTAGATGTTGACGAAGACGCTGAGCACTGGCAGCACCGGAAGCAGCGGCACCTGCAAGGGTTATTGCAGATGATGGTTTTCACGCCCCTTCACCTCCTCTGCTGTCAATTTTTATCCCGACTGTGTGAGATTCCGCGAGACAAAAGCCACCAGTACGATCACTCGCAGAGCGGCGGGACAATTCGTGCTGCCTAACGGACGGCAGAAGCGAATGTCGCAAGAAGGCAGCAAATTGCCACCCGCGTATCAGAGTAAAATGTTTGTCGCGTGAGGGTTAATTTTGCCAATTTAAGTGCAGAACCAAATTGAATGTGCTATTTTTTTTACCGGGCTGAGATCATGAACTCACTACATTTGGGATCCCGGTTTAATCAAAACTCAGCCTATGCGAGCCTACAGGTCTCTACAGTTGTCTATGTACGTATGCATGTTGAACTTCTTCCACACCATACGTAGCCAATCGTGCTAATCGGACATATATGGGGCTTTATCCAAGAAAATTTTACACTTGAGCATGCGGTTTAATCAGAGGTAGCCGCCTGGATTGGAACCCAGAATCTCAGCAGTGTTGGCTCACTGCTCTGACCTCCGCCTTCTTTTGAGCATTTCAAGGCATCAAGTAGATCGACACTGGGTACAGGAAGCGCCAGCATGAGGGGGTGACAGCAGGCGGGAGTGTGATGCCCACAGCCTCACTCACCATGAACGATATCTTGGTGTGGCTCTGCGGCTGCCGCCAGATGGTCACCGTGCAGGTAGCAAGGACGGCCATGAGCAGCACCACGGGAGCCACCACCTGCGGCCGTCCATCCATCAGCGCTTGCGGCCAATTGGCCAGCACGACGCTGAGTAGGAGTATCGTAAGTCCTGGTGGGGAGTTGCAAAACGAGGAAGAACAATCGTACGTGCGCTCGGGGTTTCCCTCACGCTTCCACATCGGTTGGCTGTGGAGGTTTCTCAATATACGTAATTCCAGCTCCGCCACCAGGGCGTGAATGAGTGAGTTCCTCACTTTCTCGGTTGTTTCCCATGTCAAATGAAGTTTCCCTGAGGAGGTGAACATTATCTGCACCTCTATCAAGCCGCACTGAAACTGCCCAGGAGCCACGGGTGGCTCACGAGCCACGGTCAGGCCGCGAGCCTGATCTATGACACGATGCCAATGGTGCGCCGGGGAATAAAATGTCAAATAATACATAGATGATTATTATTATTTACCTATGTAGATGGTATGCCAATGTTACATTTACGCTGACCGAGAAAGCCAAACTTTGGGAAACAAATGGTGAAATCAGACAAGGAGGAATCAATGCTTGAATGAAACCATGACCCTGAAGCCAGAGGGTCTGTTGCCTGTCTAACGTATTGTGGTCGACGCGACACCACATTGCCTTGGCTCGGCTTGCTTACCAACGATGAAGACGCAGATGTTGACGATGTGCGAGGACGTGGCCGTGGGGATCTGTGACTCTGGAAGGACCAGGGACTTCAACCAGTATGTGGCAGAGCCGCGTCCCTTGCTTGGCACGCAGATCCCTGTTCCGTGAGGCTCTTTGGTCTTCTCGCCGTAGACATCCATGTCCGCTGTGGCTGACACCGACTGATAACAATCATCCTCCTTGTACCTAGAGCGCAGAACAGGCCATATATTCCGTTGATTTCTTATATGTATATACATACACGAAAAGGATAAAGCTAATGGCATCCTTTCTGGTGCGTTTAAAGGGTTGTGCCATGCATTATTTTTGCATGATGTCCAATGTTTAGCTTCTGCAGGAACCGAATTAAATTTCCAGCATGCGCAGCAAAAGGTCGAACATTGTAGCAAATGACACACGCAATAGGACCCGATCGCACATCAGAGAGCTACACAGCACTACTATTAAATCCTATGCAGGAGTGTAACCCATCTTTCTCTGTGGTGGATGTGATGGACACACAGGTGTAGTGACTGTACTTTTCACTGTATGGTGCCAGGCCTTGCCAAGTCACGGCCGGTGATGTCATTGCGGGCAGCCCGGGTTGCAGGCTGCAGTACCAACTCTAGCGGTGGTTGGGTGAGCGCTGGTTAGCGCGGAGGCACCGCGAGCAGCATGCAGTGCCGGCTCCCAGTGAGGGAGCGAGAGCGAGCGTCAGCCAGCCAGGGTTACTCTGGCTGACCTGTTGTCACGTGACCGGACGATACTGGAGGGGGGCCACCGGTGGACGGGGGCCGAGGGGCGGTCACGTGGTCCCGGAGAGCTCTCGGGAACATTCGAGAAGGGGCCCGAATAGCCTGGAAGGTGGGCGGGGCTAAGGGCGGAGCCAGCCCCAGCCTGGGAGCATATAACGAGAGCTCCGTGAGGAGCTCTGGGTTCTTCAAGTGTTGGTGTTCGAAGATCCACGTCGGGGAGAAGAAGCCTCTAGCCACGCGGTCCGGGACCCAGCTTGTGGTCCGGACCGGGATAGCGAACCGAGTCTAGTTTTGCCGTAGCGTGGCTGGATGGGCATTCGAGACCCGAGCGTAGGTTATGTTATGTTGGTGCTGTTGTGTTAATAAATAGTGTTGCTCCCAAGTTAACGTCTGCGACTCATTTGGACTCGCTACACAGGTAATACAAATATTTTATTTTATTGCGCTACCCCCTCCTTTTTGGACCTTAAGTCACTTGAAGGGATCTCAGAGGTAGCTGTCTGGTATCCACTTCCTTGAACCATTTACTAATAAAAAGGGTCACTCTCCTGTGAGACAGCTCTGAATGGCTACTTTGTCTCGTGACATGACACGGATAGCACGATCGCGATATCGCTGTGTAACTCGACAAAAAACGATGAAGGTGAAAGCTCTGCCAATGGATGCAGAAGGGCGGGGGGGTCACCTGAGTATGAGCACGCAGGCCGCCACCAGCGAGTAGGCGAGCAGGGTTCCAATGGACATCATGTCCACAAGGTCCTTCAGGTCCAGCAGCAGGGCCATCACCGCTGGACACAAGAGAAGGGAGTGAAAGATAAGCTATCGTAGCAAATGCACCCAGACTGAGAATCCAATCGCCACTTTCTCAGAAATTGTGATTTAAACTTTTTGCAAACGTTGCATTGAATCGAGCCTCATTTTTTGCCACCAGCGTGTGAAGTGGTGGAACGGTGATTGTTGAAGTGCGCTGTGAAATCCTGGTGATATGAATGCCATTCTCAGTGGCGAGTGATATCCGAACCGGGATACGAGTCCTCCCCTTCACCAACTCGTACTGGCCAGCGTGATCATACAACCGCCATAACCGACATGATATAGGGGGGGAAGGGGGGGGGCCTTCACCCAACAGTGGATTGGCAAAGGGCAGTACAGTACATTTATTTTAAACTGTTCCATAATATAATAAGCATACGCTAACTCTCATAAAGTAACTGACTCTTGGCCGAATGCAGCTTAAAACACTTGAATATGGCTATTGAATGAGCGGTAAAGCCTAAAACAGGCCCAATACATTGGATGCTAAGATGTCTAATTCCCTCAAATTCTGATAAATAAATAAAATACTTGTTTTACAGCCCTATTGCTAATCGAGTGCTGGATGAGGGCCTCCCCATGATGTATGGGCCATGGGGTTTATTTAAGTCACAGTTCATCAAACTGATTAGTGTGGGTTGGTGAAGTTGGTGCCAAGGACCAGTTCAGATATCGCTTACCACTGATGTTAGCTGTGGATGGGAATTTAACTCTGATCACCTGGAAGGTAGCTAGGCAGTCTTCTTCTTTCGTATAGCTGATGTAGATGCAGAGCGACAACTACAATTTTTACATTCAGGTGGTCAAGCCAGATAACCGTGTCAGGAGTAGTGGAGTGTATTGCTGTGATGTCGCCTTCGTACTTAGTTCCATTTAGTTCATAGTTCAATAGTTCCATTTATTTGGTATAGCCCTGTGAGCCATTCGGCTCTTGAATCGGGTGAAACCGCAACAAACAAAAAACAAAAACATGAACAAGAAAACATCTTAAAGTAATTATGTGACTGTGTAAACAGAAAATCCAGGAAAAAAAAACATCAAAATATTCCTGAAATAGCACCGTACACCAACGCTGTGTGCAAAAATCCCAGTGGGATGCAAGTCAAACAACAACAACAACCACAAGACAACTAAGATTAAGGCCATCAGTCTAACTCCGTACTACAATAAACAAAAACATGGCCAAACCCAAAAAAAACGTTTTCGAAATCACCAAAATAAAAGCCATAAATCCAATGTAACAGTGATCATAGGGACTGTGACCGAATTTTTAACAATAAACTACATAAATAACATGTAACACCAAACCCTAGAGCCATATTTTTGAACTAGGCAGTGAGCTACCGCCAATAATTGCCAAAGCTCTGCAATTATCTATACATCACGATGCTTTCATCCAATTAATGAGTGTTTATGAATGTTGGAGGAAACCGGAGTAACCGGAGAAAACCCACTCTGTACCACCTTCTCCTGAAAAGCCAGGGCATGGCGCCTCCTCAACACCCACGGGAAGAGCGTTTCACAACGTTTAGGCTCAATCATAACGCGACGTGATAACCACTAATCCACCAGATCCCTTGATGAAATTACAATGAAATTACACGCACATTCACTATTTGGACTTGAAATATCGACTAGTTCAACTATTTGACTCTTTTGACTTTACTATGTTGTCCACAATTTCCTTGGGGCAAGCGGAGTTGAGGGGTGAGGATTGAACAACCAGGGACCCATTGTACATAGCAAAAAAAAAACTTACCAGCCAGCATGCCAGACGCCATCGTGGCAACGACAGGAGACTTCCGGGAGCTGAGTTTGGCCAAATGCCGGAAAATGAGGCCGTCTCGAGCCATCGCGTACACGATTCGCGGGAGGGGAAACATGGAGCCCAAGAGGCTGAGAGTGAAAGAAGGGAGATAAAATATGTTAATGTCAACAAAACTGCAAATTGCTTCCACCAATAAACCATTCTTTTTTTTGTCTACTCCAATCGTGCAACAAGCAGCGGCTCAATGGACGAAGGATCCATTGGGAAATCTCACACAGTAGAGCAACCCTCCGTGTTTAAGAATAGCCCACAGAAGCCGATATCCTTACATAAATGACCTTTGTTTATCCACAGACCAGACGGGGCACAAATTTCCCTCGTATACTGCTGCAAAAACATTGCCACGTGACAATCAAACTAATATGGTTTTTTACTCTAAAAACTTGGAAAGGTGGTAAATGGTAAAAGGCGCAGCCTTGAAATTGCCTCACTCACCGCTGGCAGAAAGGCATCCACTATTTATGTATAAATGTTGTGGGTAGAAACGTGGAGCGAGACTTCTCTTGGAGGCAACGCGTTTATTTCAATAAACAATAACAACGCCAATAGCCGTAACGCTTACAGCTATGGCCCCTGTAACACTATGGGGTACGGCCCCGTCACCCGATAACCTAAGGGAGGTACAGTCTCCCTTCTAGCGTGCCCTACACACTCTGGACTACGCTCTCACGGGTCCTCTGCTACGGGTGCTAGGGGAGGCTAGCCTGACCCGACCTAGCCAGGGTACGGATCCCACCACTGGTCCGCTGCAACCCGGCTCTGACAAGAGCCTCGGTTGAGGGTCCCAGGGTGCTGGTCTAGTCTTCCGGCGTCTTCGGGTCTTGAGTGGACGAACACTGCCGGTCCCGTTGAGAGGGCCGGCTTTTATACACAAGTTGGGGCTTACCCCGCCCCTAACCACACCTTCTCCAGAACTTTTCAGAAGTCTCTGGAAGGGTCTGGAATGAACCGTTGGCCCCTATCCCCCAGCCCCCGCCCCTTGGGGGTCTGGGGTCTCTACCCCTGGTCACGGGGTACCCGGGAGGGGGGGGGGGGAGTTTACCCCAGGTCAACCACCACACCTCTCGCTCACTCTCTCGGCCGCCCCCTATCGGCCTGTGAGGGTGGTGACCATAAGAATACCCACAGCGCCTTGGTATGGCGCAACATCAACACTCAGAAATTGGCAGATACTTTAATATGGGCTAATCGATGAAACACCAGTGAAGGAGGGTGCCCACTTGAGATCCCGGTGAAGTCCCCACTCAGCTTGGTCCCAGTTAAGGGAGTACTGCCTTGAATGAGGAAGAAGGAGTAGCGATTGTCATCAGGCCCACAGAAGCCATAGGATGGAGTACCCCCCTTGCCTGACCCAAAATGGCTCTGAGAAATAAATGTCTGAATAATGAACATCATCAAAATTATAACCAATTGTCCATTTTGTGAGCTATCCTAACTAGAGAGTAACTGCAAGCGAATAAAACAAAATGCAACGGACGGTCTGAATGTGTAATGTAATGTGTTCGCGCTCACTGGTTACTCTTGGAAACCAATATTGTTTATGATCAATGCGTTTAGAAAGGTCTTTATTTCGTTCTAGGTTACCATATGGATTTAAATGTTATCGTAGTAATTTTATATTGGCAGATTCATACACGACTCTCATGCGTGAATATAATTTCACACATTTGTAAATCAACCTCACGCACCCCATGGAACATTGCCACGTAGAGAATGACGGGTTACACTACTGCGTAGGATTTCACAGGAGTGCTGCATATCTCTCCGACGTGTGCACGGGTCATACCACGCGTTGTTTGGCACGATGGCCGATGCTTCACTGCACGTGCTGGAAACTGAGAACCACTGATAATAGAGCACTGCAGAGCTTGGGGGCAGGGAGAATTCGGTGGCAGTTCACCGCGTGGCTCCGTTTCCCGCTCGTCTACGGTTCCATCGTGTCGCTCTCTCTGAGTGAATACTGTGCGGCGGCGCGTTGCAAGTTGACATCGTCATTTATTGACCAACTCTTCCACGATGTCCAGTTGTCTTGGCAGAAGTGGGAGTACCCACGCTTTACCCCAGCACACGCGACCTGCCGGTCGACTAACTGGGGTAAACCCCTCATCACTGGCGGGTGGACAGACAGAGACAGAGTAGGGGGATTTAAGAAACTTACAGCCATCGTTTCAGCTGCAACGCCAGGAGATCAAATCAAACCGGTCACCTCTGGATTGCAAGTCCAGTGTGGTGCCATCCATTACACAAGGACAGCATCCCAGATTACTGCCTTATGTATAATATTTGGTTAATTATCTAGGAACATTTTTGATAACTTTAGATGGTCTATCTTGCGACATCTTCTGTGATTATTATAACGCTCGTTTAGTCAGGAAAAGTCTCACCGAGTCTCGAGATCCTCTTTCAAGAGGGTCCTGCCAAGTTTTCGCAGTAAGGTGGTGTTGTTGCTGCTGTGCGTAATCCAATTTCCGTAATTTACAGGTAATTTTTCAGCAGTAATTTTTGTCAATACTCGTTACATTGTATGGCTTTTTTAGCTATGGGAGGACACCGGAGAACCCGAAGGAAACCCATACACATTACGGGGAGAACATAAACACTCCAGTTTAACACGTAGGCTTTCGCGACCAATATTATTCATAATAAAGGTTTTTGGGTTAGATCGCGTTTATTTATAAATGTGTCGTAACCCTCCACCACCCGACACGGCCAATCAGCAAAGAAAAGTGTCACGTTGACAAAAGACAAATAATTCACTACTTCAGCCCACCGGTGTGTTGAAGAGTTAATCCACATTTACAGTTTGAGTACGACGTTTCGCTGGTAAATACTTCCAGCATCATCGGGCAATTCGCCAGAATGGTAAAGCCCTCGCTTGCTCCCGGTTTTATATAGAGCAGAAGAGTGACGTCATCACTTAACTCATCATGAATAACACACTCCCATTCCTAGATATTTTGCTTGGACATGGCCTAAACGGTAAAATAACACACAGCGTTTACAGAAAGCAAATGCACACTGATGCCTATCTGAATGCAGAATCACATCATCATCCAGCTCAAAAATCCTCTCTTATCAAGACGCTCGTACATCGGGCGAAAACAGTGTCAGATGGTGAGAGTCTAGTGAGAGAGATTAAACACGTTAAAGACGCACTACGACAGAATGGCTACAATAATGCTCAAATTAACAGAGCACTGAATGCCAAATCACGATCGCAAAGCAATACTACTGAAAGCGACCAGATTGTTAAAACAATAAAAATTCCATATATCTCAGGAGTAACTGACAAATTAGCCCGCGTTTTGCAAAAGCAAAACATTACAGTAAGATTTGGTACAGTACACAAAATTCAAAAACTAATATCTTGCACTAAAGACGCATTACCTAAACTATCAACAGAAGGTGTATATCGGATTAATTGTTCATGTGGCAGCTGCTACATTGGGCAGACGGGTCGTAACATCAGCGTAAGACTAAAAGAACATCAGAGAAATATTAAATTATCTCAAACACAACTGTCGGCAGTGGCAGAACATGCTTGTCAACAAGGACACTCAATTGATTTTGACAATGTTGCAGTGGTGTGTAAAACTAATTATTACTGGCAAAGACTAATTAGAGAATCCATTGAAATTGAGAGGAACAAGAATAACTTTAATCGCTCTGACAGCTACCGGCTTAGTGCGGCCTGGAAGCGTATTATTAAATAATACACATTACATTTTGATTTAAAGAATTACTAATCTACAACTCATTACTAATCATAACCAATGACTGATTACTAATCGATTATATAATTACATTACCCCCCCTCCGCGTCTAATCACTGCACCTGATGAGTTAAGTGATGACGTCACTCTTCTGCTCTATATAAAACCGGGAGCAAGCGAGGGCTTTACCATTCTGGCGAATTGCCCGATGATGCTGGAAGTATTTACCAGCGAAACGTCGTACTCAAACTGTAAATGTGGATTAACTCTTCAACACACCGGTGGGCTGAAGTAGTGAATTATTTGTCTTTTGTCAACGTGACACTTTTCTTTGCTGATTGGCCGTGTCGGGTGGTGGAGGGTTACGACACATTTATAAATAAACGCGATCTAACCCAAAAACCTTTATTATGAATAATATTGGTCGCGAAAGCCTACGTGTTAAACTGACTAACCTCTATGGGGAGGATACTTTTCTTAAAACCAGAAAATTGGAGAAGCTTCGCATTAAGCGGATGAAATTGATATCTTCACTGGCGTTCCTCAAAAGGTGCAGAGATTCAAAGGTAATACCAAACGCAGTTAAAATAACACATCACATAAAGTCTTCTAAAGCTAACCAAATACTACACAAAGCTAGCAAATTATTATTAATAGAGAGAATACAGCACAATAGGAGTGAATTATCTTACATTTCGGAATCGCTAAAGCAGTTACACTTAGATATAAGCAATAGTGTATCTATGCATTATTGGAATATAATCGATAACATAACACAACAATCGGCTGATAATGTGTTTAAACTAACAAAAACTAACCAAATTAATAAATTTTCTAGACTACATAATAAACAAATCCCTACTGAAAACCAAAAATGTAAAAACAAAACTGTACTGAACTTGACCAACACTGTATTAACCGGTGACATGGTCTCTATCCTTTCTAAAGGCCTTAACTTTGCCGTTACCCCACGCACAATTCCAGTGGATGAGATAATTGCTGAGGTAGAATCAGCAGTTAGACTCCTTCCACATAATGAGGCAGAGATGACTAGACATGAGGTTGCTAAAATAATTGAGAATAGCAAAGTTCCAAAAGTAAATATTAGCTCTAATGAGGCAAAAGCCTTAAGAGAGCTGCGTGTAAATAAGGATATCCAAATCCTAGCAGCTGATAAAGGCCGCACTACTGTACTGATGTCACGAGCCGATTATGATAATAAAATTAGAAATTTACTAGAGGAAAGTACCTACATTAAAATTAAACGAGATCCAACTAATACTTTAGAACGTAAGACCACTGCAATAATTGCAAATTCATTAATCCCTAAAAATGAGCAATACCTATTTAAGCCAAGGGCCTCAAAACCACCTAGACTCTATGGGCTACCAAAGATTCATAAAATCGGCATCCCATTACGACCCATAGTCAGTACAATTGGCTCTGCCACATATCAATTAGCAAAATATATAACCAAACAAATACAGCCCTACATCGGTAAGACATCTTCATTCATAAAAAATTCAGAACATCTTGTGAATGTGATTAAAGATATTAAACTTACTCCTGATGATATTCTGGTAAGCTTTGATGTGATTTCTCTATTCACTAAGGTTCCAGTGGACGAATCGCTTAAATTACTTGATACACTAGTAAAGAATACCGGTTTACAAAAAGATATTCCGAAACTTGCTGGCCATTGCTTAAATAACACTTACTTCTTATGGAGAGGGGATTTCTTTAAACAAAAGGAAGGAGCAGCAATGGGGTCTCCTTTATCCCCTGCTATAGCAAATTTGTACATGGAAAACTTTGAAATAAGAGCACTTGCCTCGAGCACATTAAAACCATCCTTTTGGTTTAGGTATGTGGATGACACTTTGGTTGTCTGGCCACATGGTAAAGATACACTTAATGATTTTCTAAATCATCTCAATGCACAAAACCCGGCCATCCAGTTCACCATGGAAATGGAGGTGAATAACACACTCCCATTCCTAGATATTTTGCTTGGACATGGCCTAAACGGTAAAATAACACACAGCGTTTACAGAAAGCAAACGCACACTGATGCCTATCTGAATGCAGAATCACATCATCATCCAGCTCAAAAATCCTCTCTTATCAAGACGCTCGTACATCGGGCGAAAACAGTGTCAGATGGTGAGAGTCTAGTGAGAGAGATTAAACACGTTAAAGACGCACTACGACAGAATGGCTACAATAATGCTCAAATTAACAGAGCACTGAATGCCAAATCACGATCGCAAAGCAATACTACTGAAAGCGACCAGATTGTTAAAACAATAAAAATTCCATATATCTCAGGAGTAACTGACAAATTAGCCCGCGTTTTGCAAAAGCAAAACATTACAGTAAGATTTGGTACAGTACACAAAATTAAAAAACTAATATCTTGCACTAAAGACGCATTACCTAAACTATCAACAGAAGGTGTATATCGGATTAATTGTTCATGTGGCAGCTGCTACATTGGGCAGACGGGTCGTAACATCAGCGAAAGACTAAAAGAACATCAGAGAAATATTAAATTATCTCAAACAAAACTGTCGGCAGTGGCAGAACATGCTTGTCAACAAGGACACTCAATTGATTTTGACAATGTTGCAGTGGTGTGTAAAACTAATTATTACTGGCAAAGACTAATTAGAGAATCCATTGAAATTGAGAGGAACAAGAATAACTTTAATCGCTCTGACAGCTACCGGCTTAGTGCGGCCTGGAAGCGTATTATTAAATAATACACATTACATTTTGATTTAAAGAATTACTAATCTACAACTCATTACTAATCATAACCAATGACTGATTACTAATCGATTATATAATTACATTACCCCCCCTCCGCGTCTAATCACTGCACCTGATGAGTTAAGTGATGACGTCACTCTTCTGCTCTATATAAAACCGGGAGCAAGCGAGGGCTTTACCATTCTGGCGAATTGCCCGATGATGCTGGAAGTATTTACCAGCGAAACGTCGTACTCAAACTGTAAATGTGGATTAACTCTTCAACACACCGGTGGGCTGAAGTAGTGAATTATTTGTCTTTTGTCAACGTGACACTTTTCTTTGCTGATTGGCCGTGTCGGGTGGTGGAGGGTTACGACACATTTATAAATAAACGCGATCTAACCCAAAAACCTTTATTATGAATAAACACTCCACACAGAAAGGTGCCCAAGTCAGAAATCGAAACCCAGGCCCTGCCTGCTGTAAGGCACAAGTTTTAGTACTACACTGCCACCCTGCCCCCAAAGACACTCACGTCGGCCTGAATGTTCCAGGTCAGAGCAGGTGTTCCTGTAAAGAGGTTTAGCTGTTCTGCATGGATTTCCTCTGGGAACCTTCTGGTAACCCGGAGAAAACCCCATACAGAAGAATGGGGAGAATTTACAAACTATACACAGAAATGCGCCCCTTGCCGAGTGAACAGATACACGTAACGTGAAGTCCTGCAGACGCAGGAGGGTTGGTGGGAGGAGAAGAGGGGTGGCCAAACCCATCACCTGTCACCTACCTAGTGGAGAGTGCGCAGAGGGAGCCCACAGCGACGGGGTACTTGGCGGGGTCCCAGCCCACATACTCGAAGGCCACAGGCAGAGGGCTCTCCTTGTCCAGCAGATAGTAGGGCATCATGAGCGTGAGGGCGGCCGACACGCCGAAGTAGGCCGCGAAGCAGATGAGCAGCGACACGACGATCCCCACGGGGATGGCCCGCTGAGGGTTCTTCACCTCCTCGCCTGCAGCCCAGGGGAATGGATGCGACGCCGTTTTTCAAGATCAAAATCGATTAATAATGAGAGTAATGACGTGCGATTAGTAGCGGACGTTACTATCACTATTATAATATTTCTGCATTACCTACCAGTGCGTGATTTGAATGTCGTTTTCCACAAATGCATTTGCTGTGCAGTGTCTGCAATGTTTACGATTTATCCGCCGCTGTAGCTTCCTTTTTTTTTCTCGCCATGATCCTCCGCGGGTCATTTATAAATCATCTTAAGGCAGAACGTTTCTTACCCGCGCGCACAAACACGATCAATCAATAGCACCTGTGGAATTTTCTTGGCGAGTTGCTAACACGAGACATTATCATGGCCAACACCGCTGATGCCCATAATAAAGGTTTTTTTAGTTATATCGCATAATTATAAATGTGTTTGGTTTAACACGTAGGCTTTCGCGACCAATATCTGTAATATAGGATTTGGGTTATATCGCATAAATATATAAATGTGTCGTTAAAACCCGCCACCACCCGACACAGCCAAATAGTAAGGGTTGTCACGTAAACAGAACGTGGTCAATTTGTCACTAGTACAGTACACCGGTGTGTTGGAGAGCCAAGCCACAACATTTACAAACTGAGTACGACGTTTCGCCAGTAATTACAACTAGCTTCATCAGGCGACAGCCAGAATCTGGCTGTCGACACATTTATATATTTACGCGATCCAACCCAAAAACCTCTATTATGGATAAATGTGTTTGTCAATTAAATAAAACGTGCCAATTAGTTATTACTTCAGCACACGCCGGTGGCAAAGTCGCCTGATGAAGCTGGTTGTAATCACCAGTGAAATGTCACGGTACTAAAATTGTAAACGTTGTGGGTTTACTCTCCAACACACCGGTGCGCTGAAGGAGTAACTAATTGGCACTTTTGTTTACGCGACAAACCTTACTAATTGTCTGCGTTGGGCGGTGGTAGGTTAACGACACTTTTATATTTACGGGATCTAACCCAACCCCCCCCCCCCTTTATTATGGATATTGGTCGCGAAAGCCTACGTGTTCAACCGCCAATGCCACCAATGCCCACCACTGCACCTCATTACCAAACGCTGCTACACAGGAGAGATGCACAACTACCTCCAAGATGCGCCCAGACTGTCTCCCACCATCTGTGGTATTTTGCCAGTTATTGTTGAATTGTTGTTGATTTATCCCAGATGATAGGATATATCCATAACGTTTTTTGGGGCATTTTCTGCATTGCTTCTACTTGCCTAATCTCTTTACTTTCCTTTTCCAGAAATAATGAAATATTTCTTGAAAAGAATGTTGTTTGTATTTTGAAGCGTAATTCATCTTCTTGATTAGTTTTTATTCACATTTTTAATACGTAATTAAGTTAGTCTATATGTTTAAACAAATTATATTGTGCAGTTCATTTGTTCACTGTTGTTCTGTAACCCCCCTACACTACCCCCAACCTTCACCAACCCTCAGTGACCAGTGTGGTGAAGTATGGGCAAATAATCCCTGTAGCAAATCAGACAATCAATAGGAACCTGGCTTCGAGAGGCCTTGACACAGGTCTCCACCTAAATCCCCCGCAATTCCGATCTGGTCTTGCATTAATTATTTTAGCGATACCTGCACTGATAAATAGCAAACAAAAGTCAACACGTTTGTCATGAACACCGTGGCCTAACGTTTCGGGCAATAGCCCTTCTTCATTGCACACGAAGGAGGGCCATTGGCAAAATTCCAGACGGTGGGAAAAGTAGATGCTTGGTGAGGTGGCGACATTTTTGGGCAATGTCACACCGACGATGTGCAGCAAGATAGCTGCATCACTGTTCCACCTGAAGACGGAAGCTTGTGTTGCCTCCGAAACGTCGTGATATGATTTAGTTGTTTTCTTTTATTTTATTTTACCTACGTGACTTTACCGAAAAAACCAAAGAGGATGTACTTTTCTTTTCAAGGCCACGTGGCATTATTGACGGAACGTGCCGGGCTTTTTGTTTTGCCGTCGGAGCTATTCGGTCTCTTGCCGACGGGCGCCGTCGCTACCGGTGGTGGCGATGCAGTCGAAGCCGATGAAGGCGTAGAAGCAGGTGGCAGCGCCCGCGAGCATCCCCGTCACGCCAAACGGCAGGAAACCCCCGACGCCCAGCCTCAGCTCCGCGGGCGCTGACACATTCCAACTGTGGCGAGGAAACATGCCGAGGGGCGCCGCCGCGCCGCCGGCACTCGGTCACGGGATCCACGGCGACGGTGCCGAGCGGTGGAGCATTTTGCCAGCCCATTGCAGGGGTTCGCGGTTCGAGCCAAGCGGCCGCTCCGATTTAATGCCATAGGTGTATTGAGCGTAAATACATTATTACGATTACAATGCGTTATGAGGCGGTGGCAATGATACTACTCGGCCTTGATTAGCGCATTTGGTACCCATCCGATGACCTTAAAAGGTCAGCCAATCAACTTTTTTTATATATATGCATGGCCCATAGCATGCTTGCTCTTCCTCCAGGGCGCTGCGGTCTCCTGAAATGTTGCTATTCATCTCAGTCTGCGTCTTCACTTAGACGCACGAGCCTCACCTCGTCGCAGTCCATTGCATTTTTGCTCTTTCGCGGGCATTCGCTGCCATGTCGCACTTGATAATTTTCGTCCACTTGTAGGCATTATTGACAAAAAATATATTTTTAAAAAGCGTCAAACGCTTTCGTCCACGAATATTTGTCATCGGCGATTTACTTAGCAGCGTTAATGCCGGCACTGCTCCCGACAGCCACGCGAAGAACATCGTGGGGCACTTCCAGGCTGCCCATCTGTCCATCTGTCAGTCCGTCCATCCACTGCCTAGGGCGCGTCCATCCGTCGACCTGCCTGTGAGAGCTGGTGATGTTGGTGATCTCCTCGGGCACGATGGCCCAGTTGTGAATGTCGCCCTTCACAAAACCGGCCACCACCACGAAGCACAGCACCAGCACGTTCACCACCGTGAAGATCTTGTTCACCCATGCAGACTCCTTCACACCAAACGACAGCAAGCCTGCGCAAGGCCGAATACAGACGCCGACGCTTTTGAATCGAATTGAAAAACTCAATGTGTTCGTCAATAACCCGGCATATGAAATAGTTTTATTAAAACTAATTTCTTTAGAAATGCGTTTTTTGCTTAGTTTGTTGTCCTTCCCTCGCAACTTCAATTAGCACGGTTAGCTACGTACGGTAAAAAAGAAGTTCAACGTACATACACAATCGCTCGCGCCACTACTGGTGTTTGGCCTACTCTTCCACATTGGCCAGATGTCTCGGAAGATGTGGAAGTACCCACAATTTACCCCACCACACCACCTGTCGATTGACTGTGGTTGAACCCATTGACATCGCTGAGTGGACAGGGGAAGGATGGGGGATTTAAGAAACTTGCACTATTGTTTCACCTGCCGCGCCTGGAGACGGAATCGAAACGGCGACCTCTGGATTGCAAGTCCACTATTTGAACAATTAAACTGCGGCAGTATTATAGTTTACTACTGAATATTGAATACGTGGTAAATTGAACTAGAATTTTTTTTAACTAATTTAGAAGGTCTATCGTGCAACATTGATTATTATTAGGACTCTCTTTCAGTAGGATCCTGCCAAGTTGTGTTGCTATGTATAATCCCAAATTGAGTTATTTGCAGGTAATTTCAGCATCAGATGTGTGGCCAATACCAGTTACATTCTATTTATTTTAGCTCTGGGAGGAAATCTTAGAACCCGGAGGAAACCCATGCAGAACAGAGGGAGAGTGTACAAACTTCACACAGGAAAGCGCCTGAGTCAGAAATGGAACCAAGGCCGTTCTTGCTGTGAGGCACGGGTGTCGCCACTGCACCGCCACCACCCTGCCACCCTCGCAACGTTTTGAGCTTCGTTTGGCAACTCTCCACATGTGGCTCGACACCGCACGAAGGTTTTTGGTGCACGGCCGGGTTGTGGCGTCAGTAGGGTTTGGTCACCCCTATCGAAACCCCATACCTGCGAGGAGGAGGATGATGAAGGCAGCAAAGACATCTGGGTAGGAGGCGAGGCCCGGCAGATTGATGCCCGCGTTCGTCTGGAAGAAGGAGCTCATCGGGCGGCCAATCATTCCGTCAAACGTGGCGCTCCATGCCCTCGCGACGCTCGATGTGCCTGGATAGACAAAATGAAAAAGCGTGACAGTAGACGTTTTGGGAGTTCGCCATTGTTCAAAGCACATGCAGTGGGATTCCTCCAGGGCATCTCTGGAATCCCTCAAGAGGGAATCTCTGGAACCTCTCTAGAGGGCATCTCTGGAACACCTCCAGAGGGGATCTCTGGAACCCCTCTAGAGGAGATCTCTAGAACCACTCTAGAGGGCATCTCTGGAACACCTCCAGAGGGGATCTCTGGAACCCCTCAAGAGGGAATCTCTTGAACCACTCTAGAAGGATCTCTAGAACCCCTCCAGAGGGGATCACTGGAACCACTCTAGAGGAGATCTCTAGAACCACTCTAGAGGGCATCTCTGGAACACCTCCAGAGGGGATCTCTGGAACCCCTCAAGAGGGGATCTCTTGAACCACTCTAGAGGGGATCTCTAGAACCACTCTATAGGGGATCTCTAGAACCCCTCTAGAGGGGATCTCTAGAACCCCTCTAGAGGGGATCTCTTGAACCACTCTAGAGGGGATCTCTTGAACCCCTCTAGAGGGGATCTCTTGAACCCCTCTAGAGGGGATCTCTAGAACCCCTCTAGAGGGGATCTCTTGAACCCCTCTAGAGGGGATCTCTAGAACCACTCTAGAGGGGATCATTGGAACCACTCTAGAGGGGATCTCTTTAACCCCTCTAGAGGGGATCTTTAGAACCCCTCTAGAGGGGATCTCTTGAACCCCTCTAGAGGGGATCTTTAGAACCACTCTAGAGGGGATCTCTGGAACCTCTCTAGAGGAGATCTCTGGAACCCCTCTAGAGTGGATCTCTTGAACCCCTCTAGAGGGGATCTCTTGAACCCCTCTAGAGGGGATCTCTAGAACCACTCTAGAGGGGATCTCTGGAACCCCTCTAGAGGGGATCTCTGGAACCCCTCTAGAGGGGATCTCTGGAACCCCTCTAGAGGGGATCTCTGGAACCCCTCTAGAGGAGATCTCTTGAACCACTCTAGAGGGGATCTCTGGAACCCCTCAAGAGGGGATCTCTAGAACCACTCTAGAGGGGATCTCTAGACCCACTCTAGAGGGGATCTCTGGAACCCCTCTAGAGAGGATCTCTTGAACCCCTCTAGAGGGGATCTCTTGAACCCCTCTAGAGGGGATCTCTAGAACCCCTCTAGAGGGGTTCTCTAGAACCCCTCTAGAGGGGATCTCTTGAACCCCTCTAGAGGGGATCTCTAGAACCACTCTAGAGGGGATCTCTGGAACCCCTTTAGAGAGGATCTCTAGAACCACTCTAGAGGGGATCTCTAGAACCACTCTAGAGGGGATCTCTAAAACCACTCTAGAGGGGATCTCTAGAACCCCTCTAGAGGGGATCTCTAGAACCCCTCTAGAGAGGATCTCTTGAACCCCTCTAGAGGGGATCTCTAGAACCACTCTCGAGGGGATCTCTAGAACCACTCTAGAGGGGATCTCTGGAACCCCTTTAGAGAGGATCTCTAGAACCACTCTAGAGGGGATCTCTCGAACCCCTGTAGAGGGATCTCTAGGATAGCGGTGGGTCCTTCATCAATAAGTTGTTATGTAGCAGCAGTCCTTTAAAAAGCCACCGCATGCGGTTCTGGAGCTGCAGGTTGCACATCCCTGCACTGGGCGGTCCACGGCTCAGTTGCACGGTGGGGTAAAAGGGATGGAAGTGTGCTGGCCGCCTTAAATGGAAATGTGCGCTGCCCTGCCGCACGCACACCCGCTCACCGATGACATAGGCGAGGATGAGGTTCCACCCCGTGATGAAGGCGAGCAGCTCCCCCACCGTCACGTAGCTGTAGAGGTATGCCGAGCCCGTCTTTGGCACGCGCGCGCCGAACTCGGCGTAGCACATGCCGGCCATCACCGACGCGAGCGCCGCCACCAGGAAGGAGAGCATGATGGCTGGGCCAGAGTCCTCGCGGGCCACGGCGCCGGCCAGCACGTAGACGCCGGCGCCCAGCGTGCTACCAACGCCAAGCGCCACCAGGTCGAGCGTAGTGAGGCATCGCGCCAGCTGCTCCTCGCCCTCCACCTCGCCGCTGTCCGAGAGGGCCTTGCGACGGGCCAGGCGGCCCACAAATGAGAGGGCCGGCGACGTTCCACACGCGCCAATGGTCATGGTCGCGACTGGAGGAGACAGAGAGGAGGTCAAAAGGTCGTGGTCACTTATATCAAAGGCGTATCGGTGGTATCGGAGTACCGAGTAGGGTTGCCTTGATATCACTTTTCACAATACGATATAAAATTTCACGATACGACGATTATCGCACGATACCCGTTCTGTGTAACTTTGTCATTGTGTTTGATGTTTTCATAGTATTGTTTGTGTTTCTGTCCTTCCAGTACAAACGTAAGGTGCCTTAATAGTTCTTCAACTGCAATTCACTCTACGCAAGCCTGCTGTCATTCTTTCACTCATTGCCACCTTAAAATCAATACGATATCAAATTTCACGATATGACGATTATCGCACGATACCCGTTCTCTGTAACTTTGTCATTGTATTTGATGTTTTCATAGTATTGTTTGTGTTTCTGTCCTTCCAGTACAAACGTAAGGTGCCTTAATAGTTCTTCAACTGCAATTCACTCTACGCAAGCCTGCTGTCATTCTTTCACTCATTGCCACCTTAAAATCTATAACACTTAAACGCACATGCTGTCAGTTATGAAAAAAAATATACTAGAAAAATTACGGCATCATAATTTTCCATAATATTTTTGAGAAATGGGTTATAGCTATTTGGCCAGCAGGTTTGTACATTGGCACCACTTGTGCTTCACAGCAAAAAGGTCCTGGGTTCGATTCTTAACTCGGACAATCTGAAAACAGTACTGGCTAAAGGGCTACATTTTTCTGTCACCCCAAAACATATACCAGTAGAGGATATCATCTCTCAGGTCGATGTAGCCCTCAAAGGCATAGAACACATCCAAGCAGACGTTGCGAGAGCTGAAATAGCCACTATTCTTAAGAATGCTAAGAAACCCATTAGCAACATCAGCAAAAAATAAACGCTCTGAACTCGCGAATTTAAAAAAATAGAGATGATATTAGTCATCCTCTCGGCCGACAAAGGCAAGGCCACTGTCATTATGGATAAAAACTCATACAACAACAAAATCCAGGACTTACTCAATGATGGGAGTTACTCAAAAATTAAAAATGACCCTATTAACAGCCTAACGATAAAAACCAACAAGATCATCACAAGTTCGACTTCCCTAATCGAACCAACCAAACGTCCCTCCCTAAAATCCTCCACTGCAAGACCTCCCAGATTCTATGGTCTTCCCAAGATCCATAAAGAAGGTACCCACTACGACCCATCGTGTCCACTATCAACTCCCCTACCTACAAACTGGCCCGTTTTCTGTCAGATACTCTGCATCCCTTCACTGGCAAGACCACCTCAGCAGTACTTAACTCAACCCAATTGGTTTCTATGGTCAAGGACATTGTACTGTCTCCTGACGATATCCTCGTCAGCTTTGATGTGGTCTCTCTGTTCACTAAGGTCCCAGTATCTGATACCATTACAATAATTGAAGATTTGGTCCAACATGGACTGGACCCCGATGTACCTGCGTTGGTTAAGCACTGCCTCAACAACACCTACTTTACTTGGAATGGCACCTTCTACAAACAAAATGAGGGTACCCCTATGGGTTCCCCCTTATCACCAGTGATAGCCAATGTTTTCATGGAGAAATTTGAATCAGACGCCATCCAGACATCCACCCTCAGTCCTTCCCTGTGGAAGAGATATGTGGATGACACTTTTGTCATTTGGTCACATGGCCTCCCAGCTTTGAACCTTTTCCTAGACCACATCAATTCCAGACACCCTTCCATCAAATTCACCATGGAAGTGGAGAAAGATGTCAAGCTGCCATTCTTGGATGTTCTGTTTGAGAGAAGGTCTGATGGCTCTTTGGGACATTCTGTCTACAGGAAACCCACCCACACAGATTCCTACTTGAAACCTGATTCCCACCACCACCCGACTCAGAAGAATGATCTCATCAAAACGTTATACCATAGGGCTCATTGCATTTCTGACCAACACCACCTGACCAGTGAATTAAAACATGTACATCTGGCCCTCAAGATGAACGGTTACTCTGACCGTACCATCCGCCAAGCTGTTTCTCCCACCATACAGAAACAACCACTTGACACTCCGATCAAAATCATCACGTTACCATACATAGCAGGCGTTACTAAAAAGATTTCCAAAATTCTAAACAAACACAAGATCCAGGTCCGGTTCAACACAGTACACAAAATCCATGATCTGATCCCATCCGTAAAGGATGTCATTCCTGACTTACAGTACCCCGGTGTTTACAAATTGAGTTGAACCTGCGGTGACTGCTATATCGGGGAGACGAAGCGACATATCTCTGACCGTATTCGCGAGCACAAATCAGATTTGAAACACGGCAGAACGAATTCTTCTGCCGTGGCTGATCACTGTTACAACGCTGTGGGTTATCATGATATTGTTTTCTCCGATACCAAGATACTCTGCAAACCTACCGGTTATTATCAGAGATTTGTCCATGAGGCCATCCAGATATACAAACACAGACACAACTTCAACCGAGAGGATGGTTTCAAATTAAGCAACCATTGGAAAGATGTTATAAATCAAGTCAAATGTTAGCTGCCTTTTAATTGTACAGCAATTTTCAGTGGTGGTATTCCAAATTTTAGATGCTTTTTTCGTTTTCAAAAATGGGGCGTACTCGCCCGCCATTGCCTCCCCCCGAACCCCCCGGCAGCATAACAAACAGGGGTTTTACCCACATGTGTTGGCAGTCCACCACAGCCTTCCTCTCGAACTCCCTGCAGCTTAACAAAAGGTGGCTTGACTCAGCCCTCCCACCCACCCACGCCCCTTTCTGACTCCTCCCCCTCCCTTAACCTATATATAAACCCGATCGTCTCAGAGCTGTGTACCTAACACAGATTTTCTGCTGTGACTATTCCACCTGAAGACGGAAGCTTGTGTTGCCTCCAAAACATCGTGATTTTATTGTTTTCTTTTATATTTATTTTATTTTACCTCCGTGACTTTAATAAAATCAAAGAGTAGGCCAACAATTGTCACTGGGAAACCAATTTCAAGAAAACCCATCCAATATATCGCTTGCAATACACTTAAGATGTATCCCATGCGAACGCGCGGTCAGTGTCAGTTATTAATGTTGTTATGCGTACAAATATAAACAGCGAAAGCGTGTTACCTTTAAAGCCCAGCTTGGAGAGGAGCTCTTTTTTTCCCACTTGGCAAAAATTCAGTTGTGCGAACTTGCTGCTAAGCTCAGTTGGGATCCTCATTAATCATCGGTGCGACTCAAAAAATATCTCGGCGACACGTGGAGAAACGGTTTAAAGAGCCGAAACATTGAAACCAATCACGGAGCAGGACAGCCACGATATCAATGGCACGATATTAGCAAGGATTGACTTTGACACATTTTAGATTGACCGATACAGAGTCGGACGGCACGTCCCTTTTAAAGCTGCGGGCGTGCGCGTTGGGTGGACGGGACGCGTCCTGCCAAGTGCTGCCCGGGACACAAATAACAGAGGACGTTATGCAATGGGGCCAATTTCTTATTTTACATTTGGCAATGCCTGGACGCATCACTCTTACACCCCGCCCCCTCACCACACCCCCGATCCCCGTGCTGCTGGATGTGTTTTTTTTACAAACACTCCGTATCCCGTCATGAACTCCTTCGCATTCACCATCAATATTCTTTGGGTCTTTCGGTAAAGTCACGTAGATAGGTTGAAAGAAATACAAATACAAAAAACTACGACGTATCGATAGCAACACAAGCAGTCATCATTTTCCTGATGACGAACGCTTGTGTTGCGATCGAAACGTTTTAGTTTTTTGTATTTTTGTTATTTCTTTCAACCTATCCACGTGACTTTACCGAAAGACCCAAAGAATATGAATTCCTGCAGTCGGGAAAGCTTTAAGTCAAGATTACCATCAATCCTTCACATTCATGATCCATCCACTGCTGGATCATGTCGTCGCTCTCCATCGCTCATGGTTTTGCGATGCACAGTCACATTTAAAGTTATTTTTTTCATTTTACAATGTCTCTAATTTGCATTTGTTTTCAGTTCCAATGCAATTCATGTAGTCCTCTTTCTAATAAGGACATGCGGATGAAAATAATATGATTATTATCATCGGAGAGCAAACACACACATTGATTAGAGACACAGCGATGACTGGGCAGGGCAGAACGCTCGAAGGGATGATGGCCGTGTCGAGACTAACAATGGTGCGAGTGGCAGCGAAACATACGCTTCTGCGGCCGTCTGGACCGCTCTTCCTTCTGATCTTAGAGTTGCCACTGGAAGCTATGCTTCTTTTAAATCATCGAAATTGACAAACTCTTTTATTCAGAACTGCTTTTTTTGTTTAGTTTGTTGTCCTTCCCCGCACCTCAGATTAGCGTGGTTGGCTACGTATGGTGCAAAAGAAGTTCAACATTCATACAAACTGCCCAGAGACTAACACTGCCCAGAGACTCAACATTGCCCATAGATCTTCTTTGGTTCTTTCGGTAAAGTCACGTATCAATTTATTATTTTTATTATTTTATTCTCATTCTACGTGACTTTACCGAAAGAACCAAAGAAGATGAATCCTTGCAGTCACGAAAGCCTTAAATCGAAATTGCCCATAGACTCAACACTGCCCAGAGACTAACACTGCCCAGAGACTCAACATTGCCCATAGACTCAACACTGCACCTCCAATTTGCACGGTTGCGAAAGAAGTTCTATATACGTACTTGCATGCAAGGGGCCCACCACGGAGACGGAATGATGATGAGATCATGTCGTGTGCGAGAGCTGAATGAATTGTTCGCGCGGCACGGTGAGGGATAGTAGCTACTTGGAGGGGGAGGGGGGTGGGTCTTCATCCAGCAGTGGATATAGCATGGCTGACAATTAATGACGATGAATTTTCGCACCGATTTGCAAGAGCAGTACCTACTTTGGGTCTGAATTCTGTTCTGGAGATTATTTCTGGACGCCGCATGAATCTCGCCTTACATGAACGAAAATCACACTGACAAGAGGAGTGA